CCTAAGCTCAACGTGTATTTCTTGGGTGAGCCTTAGTGAGCACCACATTTTATTTCTGACATATGTTCCTATATACCCGCCTATCAGCATAAATATCGACGTCATATCTGCTTACATTGCTAATCAAGTCTGTTCAAGCATACATCAACACACAACCGTTCATGCGGTTATTGAACAGAGGCGCAAGTTAGGAGATAAGGGGGTCGCCAAGACCTCCCTTCACAAACTCGCTCATGGGACATTCATGGCGAAAATTTCTGATGTGAGCTGCATATTTCATAAAATATTCTTATTATATTGCGACCAGTGACAGCTGTTTGCTCATTAAATAGGGCTCACTCAGAAACTGGTCAAATCGTGAGTCTGAGCGTGCCGAACTGAGTAGTATGTTGGTAAGTTTGAGCCTGAGTGAGAGTGGTTGACACACAGTTTAGCGAGTCCCAATTAGTTCTGTTGAGCTAAATTTCAGTGAATTTGAGTCTGAGTGAGTTTCCATGGTGAAACGTATTTCTTGAGTGAGTTTAAATAGGTTCCACTTTTTCTACCGGTCTATGACTGCTGCTCTCAAACATCAACACTACATCCTTGGGCAGCATTGAAGCAGCTGCAGCCATTCAGCCATCATGCCCGCGATGCAGAATCATTTTACTGAGGCAGGGTCTCGTTTCAGGAAAGGATGAGCCAGTTTTTCACACACAAATGTCAAACACTTAAAACGAAAGTAATTTTAAATAAAAGCAAAACAACCACACTGAAACTGCACCCATCACCAAACTACTAAGACAAGCAAAGCTTTGTAATTAAATGAAGTTCTGCTGAACATTTGAAACAAAAACAGTCACTAGTAGTTCCAATGCTGGTGTCATCCACAGTGGCAGACTCACCAATTCGCCCATAAGTCATGGACAGAAGCGCTTCAGTCACAGTGTGAAAACAATCTCCAAATGTTAGCAGAGAGATCAGAACATCTGATAGATAGAGCTGCAAGAGACAGGATGCCCCTTGCATCTTCTGTTTCTTCTTTCTTTGTCTAGTTGTAGTGCTGTTTATAGCAAGTTCACGACGTATTAACAAGCCTGCATTAACACTATATCAGACAGATCTACCCATGCATGCACCATGGTGGCTGGTCACTGCACCATCGTGGCTGGTGACCAGAAGCAGGAACCCGCTCGCCAACCTAGACGGCTGAGTCAGCCTCCCAAAGGCAGGTCAGAACCAGGACATGATGGCTGGCAGCAGGTCCTTGTTATGGTCTCGTGAATGGTAACCAACATGAGCACTGCACTGATGTTACACGCACATCACAATGTCTAAGTATATGCACTGACTTAAATTTGGGTGATATGTAAAAACCACTGGCCGCTAACAGCAGCAAAAATATGGTTGTCACTAATATAAACCATGACTATAAGCCTGTTGGTCCGCGGGCATAACTGCCTGTACCATGATATGAAGCAGCTTTGTGCAACTTCACATCATGGATTGTTTCTCTATCCGCCACCCGAGAATGCGCTCTGTTGCGGTCAGGCTCCGCCCAGAGACTTAGACAGTATGAAAATAATACAGGCCATGCTGAACTGCTGCCTCAAACTGCAGCGAGCCTAATGGAATCAAACTTTCTCATAGCAAACATTTAGACTTTTACGAGAAATGATGCTGTTTTCTAGGGAATGTTCAGAATAAGAACTATTTGTTAATGCATTAAGAACATCTTACATTTTAATACAATCACATAAAATTTATTTACAGTTGAAAAAGTAAATTTTCACCAGCTGCCTACATTAGCTTTCATTTTGTCGAAGTATGTGTTTCCACATAGCACAGCTTAGAAAATGAAGTGAGGCATTCAATCACAAAGGAACAAATTTTCTTCATCTGAAAGGGATGCTAAAGGCAAAAAATTTCTCCCGTTCGAATGATGAGTGAAAGTTCAATAATGCTTAAACGTCAGTATTATCTACAGGGCTTAGTTCACCAAGAAAGAAGTAAATGTATGATAAGGCTCGAGTCACCCATGCAATATTCTGCGAACTCTGTAACTCTATAAAATGACATAGTCGAGTCCCAGAAAAAGTAATTACTGAAACTGTCCACAGTAGAAAAGACAATTTCAGTGCATTAAAATTTGGTATGAAATGCTTATTTTTTTATATGTAAGGTTTAACATCTCAAAACCAGCAAATGATTATGAGAGACGCCGTAGTGGAGAGCTCCGGAAATTTCTACCTCCTAGGGTTCTTTAACGTGCGCCCAAATCTGGTATGAAATGCTGCTTGGTTCTTTCTATTTCATTCTTTAAACTAAGAGCCGCCGACAAGACTCATGGCTAGCTTCAATAAACCCCCAAAAACGGGGGGGGGGGGGCAGTGAAAGTTCTCTCAAATTACCTACCTGTGCCACAGAAGCTTCTCCGAAGCTACTGACTGGTGTCGGCTCATAATAGCAAAACTTCCCTTCTACCACGCCTGCTACTACTGCATTTTACGCCACCTAAGGGACAAAATGTCAAGAAGACCTACTTGGAAAGTTGTTCAAATACCAGTTGTGGCATGCTGACCACTTAATATATAACTTCTTTTTAAACAAGGCATTTTCTTAGCACGAAACAAACTGTGCGCCACAAACAGTGCACCAACAGTATGCCTTTAGGGCCCCTTTAAAAGTTTTCATACATTTATATACTTAAACATTTAAAAAGGTTGCAACATGCTAGGATGCTCATGGTCTCTAAAATATACCGCAAAAATAATAACTTTCTGGCCTGCGTTATTTACACAGTTCATTTTATTGACCGATAGGCATTAAAAGTTATTAACTTTTTCTCAAACCACTTAGTTTTTAAAAGCAAGGTGCATATAGTATAATGATTTGCATTATTTTCTGGATAAATAACACCTGCAGAAAGTCATCTCACTGGAAAACATGGACCAATGAATGTCATATTAAAATTCTTTGTGGGGCAGAAGAACTAAGAATGCTAATGATGATGACCGAGTATATTAATAACCTAGAGTTGGAATCTATAGAAAGGTCTCAAATCAACAGCTATAGAACTATATGGTTTCAGTTTAAGGCTGATTTTTTTAATGGTTTAAACATGTAATATTACTTTGGAACAAAAAAGCAACTTGATTTTGGTTTTACCCTGGGCACTTGCATTGTAGCAATAGGGAAATGCACCATATCATTGTCTGCAAGACATGATAATAAATGCCTGCACATTAAGGTCTTATCAAAAGCAACGGTGCACGGGTTGACGCCAGATGCAATGGTGAATGCATTAGCAATGGCAAAAACGCCACAGTCATAAAAGTTCTCTTGACGCTGTACTGCCTTAGCGTGAATGGTGAGAGTGTTAGAAGCTAGACTCATTATGTTGTTAACTTGAGTTGCTACACTTGGCATAATGTCCTGGTCTAACGAATCATACAGTAAAACACTGTTTGTAGGGGCACCATAATTTGTCACTGTAACCCAATGCCCTGGAGTATGCAGAATTTGAATAAAGTTGTCTCGCTTCTTAAATTTCAAGCTCTCCCCAACAAGAACATCCTGATAATTGCACAGACCAGGAAACTGACGTGAAATAATAAATTGCGCTGCATTTACGATTGCATCTGACAGCCATCTCGTGTCTCGTAAGGCCCCTAAATCAGAGGAAGTTATTTTGTACGGTTTGCAATTATTGGGACCACAAATCGCGTCAGCTATGGGGTCACTAATTTCTTCCACTGTCCTACCAACGACTGTCACAGGTGCCTTCTCTTTAAGTTGAGAGCTTTTCAAAACATGCAAATGTAGTCTTTTTTCTCCCCGCTTCGTATCATGTGCACATCTCTAACATGGTCGGCCACGAGCGGATTTAACTAGAGGTATGCTAAGCGCTGTCAGTTGCTATGCAAAATCACTAGGCGAAGAGCTAGTGTCCGATGTCTTTGCTAGAACCTGACATACCTTATCATCATGGGAGGCTATAATAAAGTTAATTTCATCTTTTGAATCAGATTTAACTGGACCAAATTGCACTTTCAGTTCCGATTTATCTTCTGTGGAGCCCTTCTTCATAGTGTCATCATCTACAGACTTGGCCAATAGATAGTCGTTCAGGTCTACACTCCACGAATTACTTACTTCTTTTGACTTTTCTAAGCCTTTTCTTTCCCCGCTAACTTGTTCATTACTTTGTGCTATTTTAGGAAGTGGTGAATCATGTTTTTTATTTATAGGGTAAGTAACAAGATTTTGGAAAAAGTCCTCACACTCGCTCAATTTTTTGCAAAGTTCAGTTGCGCTACATTGGGCTAGTACATTAGCAGCTTCCTTTGAAAGGTCCAACAGAGGTGCATATGCATATTTATATCTGGCCTCTGAGTTATCAAGTTTTGGCTGTACCTTTTTTACCGTGCTTGTGGTTAAAATGCTTAGTTTGTCTGGTGACACTGTCTGGTCGGTCTGCACAAAATCAGATTTAAAACAGCGCTTTGACACACAACTTTCATCAAACAGTTCCATATTATTTTTTGATCTAGCTGGAAGAATGTGCCTGCAGGGCAGCTGGTACTGTGCATTAAATGTGCATATGCATGTCCTCATAATATTAGTAACTTCATAAAGCTTACTGCCAACAAAAACGGTGCATTTGCCATCAGAGACAACACAGTCTCCTGGATTTTTCATAAACAGCCCGTATTCTTTACATACCAATTTTCTAGCATATTCGGTGCATTTTGCTGACACCTCAATGCAAAACTTATCAGTCTTACTGGTGTCAATGCAAGTTCTCATTTCTTTATATTGCGTATGGCTGAGTGCTAGAGCATCATGGGTCACATACCTTATCAGAGCTTTCACTGCTTTCACTAAGTGCATGTCACGTGTTAGATAATTTTTTAACTTTTGATTATGGCTTTCTATTCGATTGTTAGTATTATTTCCTGAACTACATGCATTTGCACGATAAGCATGAACCCACATGATCTTGCAGCTATGCCAATTTTTATAAAAGTACTGCAGAAGGGCTTTGTCATCTTCAAGTGCTTCTTCCAAGTCCTGCAAGTGCTCTTGATATATATCTACGGTATGTGCAAAAACCAGTTTCGTAATTATATTTTTAACATACTTCTTATCTAGACTGTTTGACTTATGCTGCCTCACTTTCGTGTGTAAGTACTTTAACACGTGCCAAGAACACAACAAGATTCTACATTTGGGCAGAAGCTGTTCAGTTATATTCATTTCATTTAAATATTTGTCCATTACCACAATTTTGCACTTCTCCTCTACGACAGGATTCAAACAAAGGAATGTCTCTAGAAAAGACTTTAATATTTCTGATGTCTCCCGCTGAACAAATGCATAACATACAGGCCTCCCATAGCTTGTTCCATCTTCACACAGAATCGCATGCAAGATATACCCTTCTTTATTAACTTTTACGTACCATCAAAGAACAACACTTCAGGGTATTTTTCTAATAACTGGGCCATGTGCTCTGATTGAAGCAATATGTAAAAGAGACCATCTTCTGTACTCTTTTCAATATGAACCTTCCACCCAGAGTTTTCCGAAAACAATTCGTTGATTTTTTCTAACAGAAGGGCTCTATGATGAGCGTTGTCCTGAATTTTTTGAACTGTTCTATGCTTCATGTTTATAATATCACGAGAAGTAACGTGTTTTCCCGTTTTCCTCAGAATGGCATCCTTTAGGTCTTTAGGTTTCACATTACAAGAAATCAACTCCTGAAGTTGCTCTTTTTCAGAAGCACTTAATGCATGATTATTATTGTACTATACAAAAATCTTGGGACCTATTTTATAGTTGTGCACATCCACTAAATTTACAACTTCATAATAGGGCTGTAGAGAAACATGCAGCGCAAGCTTAAGTTCAACGTTGCAACCTGTACCGTTGAAGCGTTGATTGGGTCAAATATTTTGTCCCCTCGGATTTGGATACCCTGCGTGGCAACAGACAAATTTAACTCGAACATAAGGAAAGTCTGCTTTGTTCAAATCTTTCTCAGTACACAATGGGTTTTTATCTGATCTTTCAATACGCATCGAATGGAACCCTTCACTTTTCCATCCATCAAAGCTAGCTTTAAACTCCTTATAAGGGCTGAATGTGCTCCCTACAGAAAGATTTCCTCCACCTGTGCAAATATGGCTGTGTGACAATTTTGCTGATGTTGCTTTCTGCTCCTGTTCAGGGTCTTCACCACGAGGTGAGGAAGTACTGGTGTCAGCTGCACTGCAGTCCTTGCGCAGAGCCACACCTTCTGACTGGGGGCTCACCGTGGATGTTACGCCGCAGGCGTCAGCTGGCCCACAGTCAGAAGGTGGGCTCTGCTCAAAAGCAGCAGAGCACAGTGGCACGGCAGTACGCCCAGTCATCGTCACTTTGTGGTGCACACTCGCACCACTGACAAGAGCAGGAGAAACTGGTTTCTTGTTACTGCGCCCTTTCCTATTTTCGACTCTAATCTCTTTTTCTACACGGGGATCACCACAAGGTGTGAAAGCGCTGGTGTCAGCCCCACTGCTGCCCTTGCGCAGAACCACACCTTCTGACTAGGGGCTCACCGTGGATGTTACACCGCAGGCGTCGGGTGGCCCACAGTCAGAAGGTGGGCTCTGCTCAAAAGCAGCAGAGCACAGTGGCACGGCAGTACGCCTAGTCTTCTTCACTTTGTGCTGCATCCACACACCACCGACAAGTGCAGGAGTACGCACAGGGCGCCGTTTTACTTGAGCGAAAACAGTCACAGCTGAAGCCCTGGTGCATGCCACTGCAGTTATTGGCAGTGAAGGGTACCCATGAACAGTGTCTGTTTCTGCGATCTTAGGTGTCACTGACATCGCACTGTGACATTGTATGGTAGCAGAATCAGACTTTCGTGCAACGTCCGACCACATTTCCTTCCATGGCTGTTTTCTGGCACGACACGCATGTTAATTTTGGGACAGGATGTGACAACGAGCATGTACGCTAAATCTGAGTGCACCATCAATTAAGTCGATCTGTGTATAGGAGCGAAAATTTAGCCAGGTGATGGTGAAAAAGTGACGCATAGAGAAAAAACGAGGAGCCCTCAAAAATGAGGGCGAGAGTTCAGTGTGCGTGTGCCTCCTTCTTTCTCTCTTTTCTTCTCTCTTTCTCTTTGAGAGCTCGCCTTTTTTTTCTTGCTCTGTTCCCTGTTTTATCTTTCCTCGTTGATTTCTTTTCTGCCTTTGAATGCATCACTTTCTACATTCTTTCCTTTCCAGGTGAAAATACTCCACGGTTTCAGTTCACTATAACTGAAATCATGGCTGTATACAGCTGGGACTAAGTACAAGCCAACAGATTAGCAACATGTTCCAGTTGGTCCCAGCATGAACCACTCGAGACTGAAAATGATACCAGCTGGTGATAATAATAATAATAATAATAATAATAATAATAATAATAATAATAATAATAATAATAATAATAATAATAATAATAATAATAATAATAATAATAATAATAATAATAATAATTATTATTATTATTATTATTATTATTATTATTATTATTATTATTATTATTATCTTCCTTATGGCCATTTTCTTCATCCCAGAATAGCTGTAGTGCAAGGCAAATAAGTGATAAGGGCTCACTGTCTTCATGATGGTTTTTTTTGTATATCTAATGCTGACAACATTTACAGTTCATTGTATGCCAGTACAAGTTTCATTTCAAAAAGGCACAGGGTATTTCAAGCAGTGTAGACAACTAAAAAACAGTTTGTGTAAAGCACAGGACATATGCACAACCAAATAATGCTGTGTACTGCATCGAAGTTTAAAGGGGCTGGCACTCCCTTACCTCCTATTGCCTAGCACCTCTCTGCCAAAGAAGGACATGGCACTGCAATTTATAGAAAGACATAAAGCTACTCTGAAAAGGTCTAACTGCTTTGCTTCATACTGCCATCACCTGATCTTTTGGAGATAAGGTAAGGTTGCATGAAAAACAGGTAGCCGTGCATCAGTCATTCCCTAATACGTACCTCCTTTAAAAATCCAAAACATCCCCGGGATGTCCTGAAATGACGAAAATATTCTTGTCCTGTAGGGTGTGCCACAAGATTGGCTGATATATCTGAGTCCATTAAATGCAGTTAAAATATGTAGGTCTCTGTAAGGACATTATAAATACTGCCTTGAACAGTGTAACAGTGAAATACAGATTTAATGAGTAAACTGCAAGTCAAGTGCAATGTTATCAATGCAATGGTAATAATAATAATAATAATAATAATAATAATAATAATAATAATAATATAATAATAATAATAATAATAATAATAATAATAAATGAATATATTACTAACACGATTATAATAGTATTGTTTGGTTTCCGCATACAAAGTAACTAATTGCGAGGATTAAAAGCGGGTGCACAGGAAGGCAATGAGGTATATTCATAACAAATACAATCTAAGGAATTCTCCTACAGAGTTACAAATGAATGCTGGTCTATTGACACTACAATATAGGGCAAAAATAGCAAGACTAAAGATTTTGTTTCAATCAATTCATAGTGACATAAACATCGACACGTCAAAAGTAATTTTTTTCTGTCATTTTAAGTTAACACATTACAGGCACTCACAAACACTTAATAAATACACTTTCAAATCAAGTTGCTATAAATATTCATACTTCCCCCAAATCATAAAAGAATGCAAACCAAATAAGTTTTTTTGGTACTGATGCCTCATCTTTCACTGTGTCCTTAGATATGGTACAAGCGTCACGCATAACCAAGAGAAGAGAAAACAAAGAAAAGAAGGCAGTATTTGCCAAACAGTATAATAGACAGCGCTTTCTTAAGAATTACATAGAAACTGCAGTTGGATAAAGATAACTAGATGGCGCTGTACCCCTACTCTCAGATTGGCTGCACGGGGGGCTGTGCCTGTGTATGCATAGAACGAGCGGATCTCTCAGTCTCCTTTATAGTCACCATACGTAGTGGATCGTTGGTGGGGCATGAACAAAGCAGAGTGGCGGGCACGTTAAAGATGCTTGCGCTCGGCTCCTTTGGCACGCGTCTCATCGGTGTTACCCATGCGTCATCTGCATTCTCGAACGCGATCAGACGCATAGACGCGTGCACGGACGGACGCTTCACCCCACTCATCGTCAATCCCTCCATGAATATGCTGTGATTTTTTTAATTTTCTTTTTTTCTTCTGGGATTTAAAAATTTATTATTATTTTTCCTCATTTTAACTTGCACATATGTTGTAATACCACTACTATTATTACATTCTAACAAAGCTTATTCAGCAGCTAAGTACATCTATATCGCCCTACATTTCATACAACACTACGCAGTATAGATTTAAAACTACGCTTCAAAGTTAGACTCCACTTATTTACTCATAAATTGTGCCATTCTCTCGATGCAGTGATTCATAGACTGAATTATTTTAGAATATTCTAACACATTTGACAAGGTCACTCATAAACATTTACTTTAAAATTAAGTCATCTGGACCTTGGCACTACCGAACAAAGTTTAGTACTTTGAATGCTTCGCATGAAATTGAACTCACTTTGTGCTCAGCTAAGCCCAGCTTATTTCTCATTTTAACTGCTAATGCCCCTTCCTTGCTATCATCTAAATTTTGTCATAATTTGCTGATAATAGTGTTGTCATTTGTGAAATTACTAACAGAAACTATTTGTACCACATGTTATAGATATATTGCTAAAAATATAGGGTGGAATTAATCTGAAACTTCCGCACTAACTATAAAGTTAGTGCGGGATAAATACCATATTCTTTCGTCACGATCGTAAAAATTCACGTGGCGGAGCCATACTCATCGCCACTAAAAAAGAACTATCATGCTTTCTAATCAACACATCTTCACAACTAGAATCATTATGGGTAATATGCCGTGCCCCTCCCGAAGCAATAATACTTGGCGTATGCTATAGGCCCCTTCGAACTGACCCAGACTTCCCCCGCAAACTTAATGAAATCTTATCCCAGCTAACTAATAAACACCCTAACACACGTATTCTGCTTTATGGTGATTTTAACTTTCCCTCCATTAATTGGCTCAATCAGGTTTCACCAACCTCGGGAAATACTGAAGCAAGAGAATTCGTCGATGTTTGCCTCAACTTTAACCTTATCCAACAGGTAACCGAACCAACGCGCGTCACTAGTGAATCCTCAAAAATTTTAGACCCAGTACTAACAAATAGCCCTGAAAGCTCAAAATCTATTGCATACTTACGTGAAATCAGCGATCACAAAGTCATTTATACCATATTTAACTTCACCCCAAAAATACGCCCCATTTTCCGCAAAACGATTCACTTGTATGGTAAGGGTAATTATGAATTAATTAATCGTGAATTACGAGATTTCCTACCATACTTCAAACTCAATCTCAGTTCCTGTTCTCTCAATGACAGCTGGCTAATGCTTAAGGACAAGATAACTGACTTGACTAATAAATTCATCCCCACAGTGAGCTTTACTGCCAATAAAAATAAACCATGGTTTTCCAAAAGTTTGAAAACACTTGAAAATAAAAAAAAAGCGCCTCTTCCGAGCTGCGAAGTTTAATGGTAATGCGTGCGCATGGGGCAAGTACTATGCTGCGGAAGATGCTTATTATGCTGAAATTAGAAAAGCGAAACAGACATTCTATCGCAATGATTTATCTAAAATTCTGAAATCTAACCCTAGAAAATTCTGGGAAATCATAAACCCGCAATCATAACCCTAGAAAATTCTGGGAAATCATAACTAACACAAGACATCATGCTTACAAACGATAAAAATGAAGACGTAAGCGACACTGTTTGTGCCAATATCTTTAACACCGCGTTCTTATCAGTGTTCACTAAAGAAGCCAACGTACTGTTTCCGACGCCACCTACTACGACAATACCAGTGATGGCCCCTGTTGTGTTATCCATTAGTCGCATTTCATCACTCATTGACAAATTAAAACTTTCATCATCAGCTGGCATAGACAATATTAACTCTAAATTGTTAAAAAACACTAAGGAAATTATTGCAGTGTACTTTTCGATGATGTTTTCATTGTCACTCGAAACAGAAATTTTACCAGACGACTGGAAGGAGGAAAAGGTCATTCCAGTCCACAAATCAGGTAACAGACAGTCCCCCCTAAATTATTGACCCATCTCTCTAACAAGCGTCCCCTGCAAAATCAAGGAACATATCATATATTCACACATCATGAACTTTCTTGACACCAACAATTTTTTTCATTCTTCCCAGCACTGATTTCGCAAATCATTATCCTGTGAATCCCAACTTGCTATATTTATTCATGATATACACTCTTCTCTCGACCATCACTTTCAGACCGATTCAATCTTTCTCGACTTCGCAAAAGCCTTTGATAAGGTACCGCACAAACGCCTACTGTTAAAACTTTCCCAGCTGAACCTGCACCCCAACATTCTTGCATGGACCACACAATTTCTTACTAACTGCTCTCAGTTCGTCTCCATTAAAAACACCCGTTCTAGCTCCCTCCCAGTAACATCCGGCGTCCCCCAAGGATTTGTACTCGCACCACTCTTGTTCCTAATATATATTAATGATCTTCCTGTTCATGTATCTTCCCATATCCATTTATTTGCCAACGACTGTGTCATCTATTGCACAGTTACTAACATTTCTGATCAAACTACACTCCAACAGGATCTGGATCTCGTGCAACAGTGGCGTGATCTTTAGTTAATGAAGCTTAACCCTACTAAATGCAAACTCGCCTCATTTCAATGCCAGCGTAATCCTTTATCATTCTCATACCTAATCTCTAATTTCGCTTTCGAACAAGTTCAGTCATATAAATACCTAGGCGTCACCTTAACATCTGACCTTTCCTGGAACACTCACATAAACAACATCATATCATCCGCGAACAGACCCCTCGGTTTCCTAAAGCGTCATTTGCGTCACGCACCACTAGACATAAAACTTCTGGCTTACAAATCGCTCATCAGACCTGAACTAGAATATGCAGTGCCCATCTGGAGCCCGCACCAGATATACCTAATAAACGAAATAGAATCTGTACAAAATCATGCCACTAGGTTCATTCACTCTTCATATTCATACGACATAAGCATATCATCCCTAAAACGTGACATTGATATTGCTAATCTTTCTGTGCGTCGCAGCATCGCCAGCCTCTGTTTGTTTCACAAGTTCTTTCACAGTTCCCTCAATCAAGCTCCTTACATCATCTCACCAACGCGCATATCTCACCGCACAACCCATCCTTATTCAATCGCATTTTTTCTTCGCACAGCAGTGGACTGGAATGGCCTTCCCCATGACATTGCAGCCATCACGTGTTCATCAACGTTTGCGCAAAACATAAGTACATAGTGTTTGTCAGAAAATCACTCTCTGTAACCTCCATTCGTTAACCCACCCCTTATGTAATACCCCCTCACCGGGGTCTTTAAGATAATAAAGTGAAGTGAAGTGAAAGTTAGCAATGCTAACCACATGCTTGGCTTGTGCCAGAAATGTCGCACCACTCCTTCCTTTCTTAATGTTAACGTACAATCAAACCAAAACATGTGCACGCATGTGCCTTTAACACATTTTGTAAACAGATTTGTCCGATGCCTATGAACAAGCCTTACCAATGCCTTTTGGCCTGTTTGACACTTCAGGGCCTTCGATGCACTGTAATGGCACAAGAAAACTTGTGGGTCTTAAAGGTGACTTGTTTCAAGACTTTGCAATATGATGGTTGATTGAAAGTGATAAAATAACGAAGTTGATAAATGAGTTAGATGTGGTGTCTTGTATAATAATATGCATACTCTGTGAAAAAGAAGCAAGCATGCAAATTAGTAAATTCATAATGAAAACATAATGACATCAGTGCTAGATTGGTTGTTGTGGTAACTCACCTGCAGTTTGATCGTAATTATGGAATATGAATGTTTAACTATCTTGAGTTTTAATGAACTGGCATTTAGTTTGTGAATAACAGTATGCTAAAGAGCATGTACATATTCTTGTTTGGTTGTACAACAACAGCGTTAGGAAATATTTTTAAAGAATGAGTGGTAAAAAATTTGTGGCACAAGCCAAGAACATTATTAGCATTGCACATTTTGTAGTCAGCCTGGACATACGAGAATAATTTAACAGACATCTGCCCAGCCAAGTATTTAAAATTACCAAGGATGTTTCAAGGGACGACTACATAATAATTGCACCTGCATGCATGAGCTCGTGTCTCTCAAGTTTTATGCATGTGCTTCGTCATGGCAGAGCACGGTGCAAATAAACCCAATGGTTGTCGGCCACTGTTTGGTACACAAGTTGTGCAGCAAAACGAATTTGAAATAAATTTTCACACAAAATGTTTCATTGCTATTTCGCAGTTGATGTATTATTTCCATTGCAATATAAAAACAAGTACATCCAATACTGGCTGTATCTCCCTTTGCAGCTGTGATAAGGACTCCTAGCAATCTCAAAAGTAGGAACCGAGTATCCGGCGAAAACATCAAGCCCTTAAAATCTACAGAAGTGTTAAGAAAGGGTAAGTAACAATTGTATAAGTAGCAAAATCACTTTCCTAGAGCGAAGCAGCCAGCTGCAGTAGATAAGCTGTCATGCTTAATGCGTATAACCTGCCAGGGATGAAATTTATGATACTTTTACACATTTTCTCTTTATTTCAGTGCACTTAACATTTTAAATTTTATTAAACTAGTAAAAAATATTTAGTTCTACAAATAATGGCGACTGAATCAGATAGAACAGTATTCAACTTGGTATGTGAAATCATAGAATATTTTGCACGCCCTTCGAATTTGGCAGTTTCAGAATTTCCCAGGGACACATACTTCTCCATATGGACTTTACATGTTTTCTAGAGAAAGCTTCTGGGCCATCATCGTGAAATAATTTTTTTAATTAAGCGATCATAGCAAGTGTTGTACTTCATTTGTTTTTTGCAAAGCAGTTGTAGGGTTCACATATCTCTATTTTCAAGAAATATGAAGTGAATGAATGAAAGTATAGTTAGGCAGCTAACTGAATGATATAGTGACCCGTATGGACTATGACCACTGGAAGGGTGGAGCGGGTGTTGTTACACGTGGACTTACAGGCTGTTAAGGGTAGATAGACAAATCTGGCTGATTGTGCATAAGTATTAGGGCATGTAAGTTCGGATTAAATACCAGACAAAGCTTACAGGCAGCAGTCCTGATAGATGTGAGCTGTTGGAACCAGTTCAAGCTGGAAAAGAAGTGGTGATTTAATTGTGACACATTTGTTGAAACTTTGAAAACCAGGAAAGTTTCTCGAGCAGGCAATGTTAAGTGATGTTTTTGATGACTGTGACATTGCACACTGTCACTCTGCACATGTGTCTGTTTCCTTATATATTTTCTACCAAAGCCACAAACAAAGATAGATAGTAGTTAACTCGCGTCCTGTGTTTCCTGTCTTATGCAAGTGTCATTCTGCACTTTATTACCTTAGAAGTACTTGTTGTTGGGCAGGTTGGTATAACATTATTAGGGAAAATTCTAGACGATGCGAATGTGTGGTGCAGTGTAAATATTTTCTGTAGTTCAGCTGCAACTGACGCTCTTTTTCTGTGCTTTTTCATTTTTCCAGTGGTGCTTAGGCATCCATAATTTTCCCCCTAGCTTAATTACCTCCCTGAAGTTATGCATCATCTTGCCCATTAACAAACATTGTTAAACTATTGTATGTGGCATTGTTGATGCAAAATGACCTTAGAGTATATGCTAAAGCTCCTGCAGGATCACCGGCTGAATGTGACAACCAGTTCACTATTTATAGGACCCGAAAGTATTGACATTTTCAATATATCTGTTCGCACAGTGCTTCATTGGAGTCATGCAAGCTTAAAATATGGTGCTCCCACAGAGAAATTTTTCTTCCTGTGCTGTGACCAACGGGAAAACTATGTAGACAATAACGAAAAGAGATCACAACTAGGCTTAGCTGTGTGATGTCTGTCTCAATAAAAATGTAATAAATTAATGCAAGTGTGCTTATATCACCATGGTGTTGCCAGTTTATTACTACATTTGATATGAACCTCTGCTCGCTCCACCATGGTGTTCCCAAGGGTGTACACAGTCTTACCTCTGAGACAGCATTGCCAGAACTAATTTCACTGTCACAATCTTGAACAGGTGTGCAACAAGCATGCACCAGTGCAGAGAACACAAGAGAAGTGGTCACTGCTTGCATGTTCAAGGTCGTATGCACGCACACCGGACCATGATTTTGCAGTGTCTTACATTTTGAGTGGAGTATACATCATGATGGCTGGAGCAGTCTCTTTGGTCACCAGCTAGACAATCACAATGTGCATATTGTTGCTTGAGACAACTGTTTAGGACAAAAAAAGGGCACCGTAGAAAAAAATATTTTTAGGCTAATGCAAGGGCTCGTGGTGAGGAGACTCTCAAAAGGTATATGGTGTGTCATCTTGCAATAGAGAAGCAATATTTATACCTAGTTTATGTTAGTAGGAGTCTGCTAAACATTGGCCATTCAAGCTTGTGGCTAGAGAAGAATGATGTCCAGAAGATACCCTCCTGAAATGTTAACCTGCACCGTCCTCCCTTGCCCTTCTTGGTACACTGGAATTTTTGCCCTATAGGTACTAATTCCTTCAGTGGGTACTCTTGAAGGGCTTCTGAATAAGCTCACTCTTACCACCTGCATTACCCGAGGGCAAATCCTACTGTTGGAACTTGTTTGCTTGGCAGAAATTTTTAACAGCAAAAGAAGCTTCACTGGTTGCACAAATAAAGCTACAGCATTGCAAGATTACTATGATGTTATGTACACAGACCTCCCCCATATAACTCACTAAAATGTCACCACTTACCTCTATGGTGAGCCTGATTATGCCTTAAGACAGCATGTAAGTTTCTTGATCCTATACTTTTTAATCAGTACATTAACCTTGAAAAAACAAGATCATCACGTGCAGTCCGTAAAACCAGTGCCTATGAACTGCAATGATGCCATCGAAAGCATTAGCAAAAGTAAATTCACCCTGCTGGAAAGCAAATTCTGCATGAAGCCTGTAAATGTACTGTTAACAAAGTCTTCTCGACAACTTCATTATGTCTATTTTTGTAATTTGCATAATCCTGTTTCATACATACCTTGCTGTTCACCCTATAATTATTGACCTCTGAGTGTTACTTAAGTGACCATGCTCATTTAACATACCTGCAAGCCTCAGCGCTAACCTAATAAAATTGGAAACTTTAATAAAGTAATGCTCTCTTATGCTCACCCCTTCAAAAAAAAGTTCTTAGCATCTCCTGAAAACCCATTCTTTAAAAACTTGATCATCAGAGATGCAATGTATCTCCACACCTGATGACAGACATTTGTGCAATTACAGCCACATTATTATTCATTCCAAAATATTTTTGTTGCTCCACAACATAAAGTTTTGAAAAGAGCATTTCATTGTGCAAAATTTGGTATACTGCAAAACATGCTGGAGTATTTTCAAAACTGGCACAAGCGATTTTTCCAAGACATGAAAATAACCATTTTCTCATGGTAACGAAAAAGTTAAACAAATAATAGCTTTAAAACCAAATAAAAATATCTTACAGCCAATGCTCGGCACTTATATTCGGTCAGAAGTGACCTAGCATGGAGGACTATTAAACAGCACAAGCATCTCAAGCTTCCCAATTTAATGTCAGGGATGCTTTAACCTGCTCTAGATATACATTTTTTTGCTCTAATACCAACATTTCACTGCTCCAAATCCTATTGCAGCTGTATCACACCTGCTTTTCCAGTACCTTCTTCAGGTGCTGGAAAAGTGGCCACCAAGCTAAAGGCACTGGCTCCTGTTTCTTCGAGCAGAACATTTATATAGCACAATTTACACAGTTTTGATCAAAATACAACATAAGTTTCCGATATGTTGGCTCCACAACAAATGAAAATTTTTTTGTATTAGTGTGTAATGCTTCTAATTTGGCTGGTGACTGTATAGGTTGCAATGGCAACTGCTGGCTGAAAGATTTATTTGGAGGTTATGTTCCCAGACAACCTTCATCGCACATTTCACATGTAGCAATTCTGGCGGGTGCACGACATGTACTCTTACTGTATTGTACCTTTTGCGGATGAGCCTGGATAAGTGCAACATTGAGTTGCGCAATTAATCTTCCATTTGCCATTCAATTTGGCTCCATAGTCTTGTACTCCCACACGCTGCACAGATATGATTCCTCGCAGTTTGAGTGCCCCACCTGGCAGCGTTGCTGAGAGAAAGGGTGCCATCACGCAACTGCCATCAATAGTTCAACCACATGGCATTGATGGTAGTGGTGATCGGGGGGATAGTGGGAGCCAGTGATATGGCTGCCTTCTCTGGAAATATGGTGCATATAGCTGGCCTTATGGTGACCACCGCAAGAAGTAATATACATGGGTTGAAAGGATATTCTGTGCCATCTATGTGTCCCACCTTTAAACGTGGTTTGGTTGAGTGTAGTCTGTCAGGCCTGCTTGTAGCATCAATACTGCTTTCATTCAGTGTGGCACATATAACTTTGAGCCTACTTTTGTGTACTCCTGCTAAAATATAAATAGTCCTACATCGGCCAAGATTGCCAAGAGCGCTATAACTTCTGAAGGGTACTTGAATATAAAATTGTGTTTCATTATCATCATCAGTGTAACTATGCCCACTGCAAGACAAAGGCCTCGCCTATTGTTAGTTTATGCCTCATAAAAAGAACAAGAGTAGCATAAACAATATACAGACAATATCATTTGCATTGTGACAATATGTGAAATGGTACAAGATTGTCTGTCTTTCACATTAGAATACAGGATATTGCCACAGTTGTCATAACACAGAAATTTTTATAATCTTTTGAGAAGCTATTTGTCTTTTCGAAGCATAATGAGCCTGGTTGCCAGCCACTGAAATACACTCAAGGTAAGTCTTTATTGATTCTTAAGAAACTGGTAGAGCGAATGTGTCCACTGGCTCCATTTGCAGCAAATATTTTTGTGCCTTAGGTTCTATATCACACCAATTTATTTGTCCACAGAAAATAATTCTACCTGTTTTTTTCTAGGATTCACGTTACACCATTGTGGAACACGTGTGGAAATTTGGGCACCTTGCAACCATGGGGATTCACACGACACCACCTGAAAAGTAATGCTTGCTATTAAAATACAAGTACAATTCTGCACAATAAAGTTCAATCCAATAACATCTGAGCATTTCTTATGAGTTGTGAATGCAAAGCAACAAGAAACAACCAGTTGAACATTAAGGCAGCCATAGCAGCAGCCTGTGTGTCAACGCTGCTTTTTCCCAGCATTCAAAATTATTATGTTGTTTTCATACATTGATTTTCTTTCTAGTGATCATTAAGACAAATATTGAAGTCAAGAAAGAACATGTACACCGTCTTCAACTGGATCAGACAAGAAAAATGGTACCATCCATTCCAGCAGCTTGCTAGAGGGCCAGCCAATTGCATGGTTAAGTCAGCTGAGTAGTAAGAGATTTCTGGTTGAGATAGTGCCTGTTAGAATGCTTTGCCTAATGACTTGCATTATTCTCTTCTGTCCCAATGACCACAATTCGAGGCCATTTCTTCAAGCTAAGTGGAGCTAATTGTAAACCAAACATTTTGTACTTTCAACTTTAATTTCTCACGTGGAGAGCAGAGCATTACCTTACTTAAGCTCAATGAGGTGGCCCTCGATGTCCCGCATCAGTGATACATAGTGTGTATGAAAATGGCATTTCTCAGCGAACATCAACCTCTTTGTCCTTGCAGGGAGCAATTATATTTTTTTCTAGGTTTTTGTGATTTATTTTTAGCTAGTATCTTGGACAGCACTACTACAGGGTGTCAAGTCAAGTTGTAATCGATTTTTAGGCATAATCTTTGTTGTGAATTTCAGTAAACAGACGTTCAAATTGCTTGTCCCCAATCGGTGTCTATGGGTCTTATGACCACACTATTGATGACGAGAAGGCACCTGACTGAAGAAGAAATGCAAGTCCTTCCTACAAAAAAATGCTGCTGATCTTTCACATTATGATGATCCTGAATTTATTGGCAATGATGCTTACAATGGCAGCTATGTGGAGCGTGATAGTGAGGACAGCAATGGCCAACAAGACGCCTCAATTGGCACGATGCCAGAAACAAGGAGTGCAGGGAAGTGGAGGAGGAGAGTGTCAAAATAATGTGCATCGTCAAGTGAAAAGACAGTATGGTTCAATGACAGAAGGAAGAATGTGAATGGTTGCTAAGTGTAACAGAATCATGACCGAGGTCGACTTCATCAGCTGCTTTGTATCCTACTATCACATTTATTGAACACAAGGAAGAACACTATCTGAATGTTCACTCACTTATTGTATATAACATTCATGCTCTAATGAGTGGATGAAATGTAAGAGCAAGCAATGGTCTCGAAAACTCGAGTTGACCTAAAAACGAACACGGCAACGTGTTTAATTAAAGCGTCAGCTGCTGTGTGTGATGGACAATGTAAAGGAGTGCAAAATGAAAAGGAAAACTGAAGCAAGGGAATGTTTACCGGTCGACAGAGGCGCAAGATCACTCTGTCACCACCAGACAATGTGAGATCTGAAATTTGAGGCAACGTTCCTGCAAACCCTAAGCTTGGATGAAGAAGGAAAAACAGGAAAATTGAGTATGGAGCTATGACTAGAGCGAATTCTTCAAAGTATGTTTTCTGTAGCCTCCAGAACAGAAACTGCTGTGAGGGCATCCACACCTGTTAGGACCCAAAGGCCTAATTTGGAGACAGCCAGGTTTGGTCAGTTCTTTTTTTTTTTGTTGTTGATACAAATAATTTTTTTTTCTTTTGCTATATGCTTAAGACCGAAATAAAGAAGTTTCAAATAAACTTACCAGCAATTTTGTTTCAGGGACTGAGAATAGTATTGTTCTTATGCAGGGCAAGTAGGTGTCATAACTTAATACTCTTAAAATAACGTTTTTGCTTGGCATAAGCTGTACCTACATTGGTACATACTTGTTGACCTTGGCCCACAGTCTTAAAATAAGACATGTTTGTGTTTGGCATAAGGTGTACCTACATTGGTACATACTTGTCGACCATGGCCCACAGTGATTAAGACCAGCATTAGGTACATCATGAATGGGGTAACCACTTGCTTTACACTGACAGCTTGAAACCTCATCGAGCGGGCAAAAAGGGATCCCATGACAGCAACTTCAATAAAAAAATATGTTGATGATGAAATCATCAATATCAGTGATATTGATGATAAAATTGAGCTAAAGAGCAGAACTCGTATGTGTAAGCCTGCATGATGTCAGTTGTTTCTGATCTGATTTGCTCCCGTTTCGATTTTAAATAAAGAAGCAACGCACAAGTCAGATGGGCAGCACCACATAACACATGGAGAAAGAGCCAAGTACCCATAATAAACACTTTCTCTCCTCTTCCATCGAGTGAACAAATTGGTCAAAGCGCTAACTTTTAGATATTTCCGCTCGACTGCCATAAGAATAATAGTGCGTTTGTGCTACATTATGATTTAATTTTATTCGGGCAAACTTTTATGGCAATGGCTGCTGCGCCGCGCGGGGCTCTAGCCATCCCCACACAGAACTGGCTGCTGCGCCGCACGGAAGTGACGTCACAAAAATTGTCATGACATACGTCGTTTCCGATTTAGCGCGTTGTTCGAATTTACCGAATCGGAACGTGGCTCAGCTGGCCAGCAGACGCTCACTTGCTGCTGCTGCTGCTGCTGGAGTACGGCTGGTTGCTGCTTCTGCGAGCTGTCTACAGGCCTTGTTCTGCTACATATTCGCAAGCCTCGAACATCATCTTCATCTAAGCTCAACCGCTTATTTTCACTGCTATTTTATATTTACTAACGTTGTTTATATCCATCCCAATACGTATTTTTGTGATTTTTCGCGTATAGGCTGATTTAGCAGTATCTGTGCGTGGCCCTTTCTTTGGTCATCCGTGTTAACGTGCTTCGTATCTGTGTCGTAGTGCATTTGCGTAGTTGACAGCCGTGTTTTAGACTAAATATTCACTTTCTTGTTTCTTTTTTTTTTTTCATGGTGTAATTCTGAATTGAAAGTGTGCGCAACATGACGCGTGTGTTAGTAGCGGGCAATTTAATGGTGAAATACGTCGACCAGTATTTCCCATCGCGCCGTGGCTTGTCTGTTAGCGTTGCCGCACACAGAGGAATAAGGATTGAGCACTTGCTCTCAATGATTGCTGACAAGCTGGCCAGTTTTGATGTTGTCATTGTACATGTTGGCACGAACAACACTGTTGACAGTGTCAACATGTGCATGGACAAATATCGCCAGCTCGCTCAGGGAATCATCGAAAGCAATCCCATGTTGCATGTAGCTTTTTCTGCCATTCTTCCTCGGGGGCAGAATCGGTACCGCCAAGGGGAAGAACAGTTGTGTGATGTTTGTCATTTGAATGACCACTACAGGAATGTGAATGCCGCACTCGCACAGCTTTGCCTGGAGAGGGGCTTCACTATCCTGGATAGTCTTGTGGACAGCTGGCCTGGATTCCTGAGCAGGGATGGTGTCCACCCCAGCCGGCTTGGCAACAAGGTGCTGGCAGACTTCCTGTACCGTGAGGCCTGTGCCTTGTCCACCCAACTAGAGAGGAGACACATCCAACAGTCCTACAAGGAGTCCAAGGCATCTGCATGGAGTGGGTGGGCCCGGCAGGAGCACTTTTCCATCAACTTGGAAGTCGATTTTCCAGCACTTGGTATGCATGCAGTTCAATATTCTCCAGCAGTAGGTGGACCTTCCGCTGCACCAGCTCCTGTCTGGTAAACCAGCAGTGCTCTCATGCAGAGACACGACACTGACCAACTGGCCAGTACCATTCATGGTATTGGCTTTACGCTCGTTGGCGGTGTCCGCGTTCGCTGCAAGGGAAGCAAGGCTTGGTGGACCTGGGACAGCCTGCCTTCCCCCATTTTCCATGGCACAAGTGTACCATGCAAGGGAAACACTGGGGAGAGGCCTATTCAGCCAATGATCCCTAGTCGAGGTGCAAGCACCACTTGTGACAGGAAAATAAGGAGAGCCTCACAGGAGCATGAGAGTGCTCTTGTGCGCTCTTCTGTGGGGGAAGAGGAGGCCAGTGCTGGAAAAGCAGCTGTGCCACAGGCTGTCGGCCAGTGTGGCGACAGTGAGTGGAAACTGGTGCAGTCAAAGAAGAGCCGGCGGAAGGCTGCGGCACTGCACAAGCAAGAACAGAGCTCTAAACTGTGTGCAGACAGTGAAGGCAAAGTTCTTGCTGTGACAGCTGCCAAGTCCATCAGGTCCACTTCACCTATGACAGCAGTTGTGAGCCAGAAACAGATTCAGTCTGCTTCTTCCGCTGTCTGTGGTAGAAAGCCTGAAGGACGAGCCAGTGTCTCGCACAACATCATTCGTGATAGTTTTAAAAAGGTGCAGCGTGTTCCTAGCAAGCAAATGAAAGACTGCTCAGTTAGTTCCGCGACTCACTGTGAATCTGTCACGAATGACGCTGTGAACGAGGTTTCTGTCTGCAAAAGCCATCTACCAGCACTGACTCGGGATTGCATGCGAATTGAGCGCGATCCTGGCACAGAGGCTGGTGACCCTATGGAAGCTGGGTGCACTGCAGCTGTGCAGTACAAGTATTGTGAGGCTGCTTTGACATCCAGAAGCAGGCCTGTCAGCCTTGGTGCCCAGGCTATTTGTGTAAACACTGGTGCCAACCCAACCGTCCTCAATAACCCAGTAAATACACTATATGGTGGGGGTAGCAAAGTTTATTTAAATGCAACATTTGATAACTTTCCTTCTTTTAAGAAAAGCTTTGATGAGTGGTGCAGGGAGGGCAGGCATGTAGTCATGATAAATAAGAGTAATAAAAGTCCATTCACATCAGAAGATAAGGACTTCGAGTATATTAGGATTAAATATAGCTGCATTCACGGTCGCACAATAAAGCCCAGGGGGATAGGAAAGCGACCAAAGCAAGCTTACAATGGTACTGGCTGTGAAATGACAGTATCGGTAAGCCTATGTAAATCGCCTACTCTGCACTACAAGATAACTAAACTACAAGCTAAGCATAACCATCCCACAGAATATTATGATTTGTATCCTCAGAAGAGGCTCCTGAATCATGGCGAAAAAGAAGAATTCTTTGACTTAGCTAAATGTAATATTGGCGCAAAGGATTTTAAAAACTTGGTCGAGCAAAAAACTGGTAAGAAGTTAACTACAAAGGACATTAATAATTACAAGCAACGATTTTCTATTCCTATCCGCAATGAGCAGGCTCATGGTGAAATGGTTTTAGAGAAGGTAGAGACCTTGCTAAAAAATAATCCAAACTGGGTTATTCACTATGAAATGAATCAAAATAATAACCTGCAATTCATACTTCTTCAAACAACGCACATGCGTGAGATTTTGGAAAAGTATCCAGAGATTCTATTTATTGATGGAACGTATAAAGTGAATATTGAGGGTTATATTCTTTACTCTATATTAGTTCAAGATGGTCGTGGTCGTGGGAGACCTGTGTGTTATGCCTTCTTACGAAATGAGACGACTGAAATTGTTGAGCCCATGTTCACAAAGTTTGTAGATTTCAACCCATTTGTTGTGTCTGCTTGCAAAGTAGTGATGATTGATAAAGATCTCAATGAACTGCACATTTTAACCAATATTCTTCCTAATTCTAACATACTTTTGTGTACGTGGCATGTGTTGCATTGTTTCCAGCAAAAGGTTAATGAAAAAGCTAGACAGCAACGTGATCAGTTGCTTCCTCTCTTAAAAAGCTTAGTTTATTCCCCCACTGAGCAAGACTACTTCGATAAGCTTGCTAACCTCCAAGCTATGACTTGCACAGATTTCATTTCTTACTATATGCATAACTGGCACTTGTGTAAGGAAATGTGGGTACATGCATATCGGCAAGCCCTTCCTACATTTGGTAATAATACTAATAATCGCATTGAGTGCCACAATCAAAAGATTAAAAATTATCTCTCTTCAAGCATGCATTTGGTTCAAGCAATAGAAGCATTGGTAGGTTACATTGATAATGATTCTTTATCTCTACAGTTCTCTAAGCTTAAAGAAATGAAGCTGAACCTAAACATAAATGATTTCAAGGACCCATTTCAGCTAGAATTGTCCCGTAATTGCACTTCTGAGGCTACAAGTAAAGTACTAGAGCAGTATGAGAAGTTTAAAAATGTAAGTTATCAAGTCACTTCCACTCCTAATTCTTATGTTGTAGTTTCACCAAGATCACAGTACAGTGTTTCATTGTGCTTGGCTTCTTGCACATGTGCTTTTTATAACCAGTACACTCTGCCTTGTGCACATATTTTAGCAGTGCGTGACTTTACTAAGCAAGATCTTTTCGACAAGGCTTGCATACCAGACAGGTGGTGCAAGAATCATTTCCTGAGTGACAGCTGCACAACCACTAGTGCCACACCAGTGGTAACAAGCAGCATTCAGTCACCACCCTGTGTGAAGCTTGACACTGCACAAGAGAAGTATACTTATGCTTATAAGAGTCTTTGCGAAATGTCAAAAACCGTGGCTAACGTATTATCTAATTGTGGTGAGAAGGAGTTAATGGAAAAACTTTCGTCCTGCGAGGCTTTCTTCAGAAATTTAACCACATTTCCTCGTAACCAAACTTCAGCAGCCATAAAGGCTGCACCAGCTCAGTTAGCACAAACTACTGCCACAAGTTATCTTGGGCATTCTAACAGTACAAAACTTGTGGTACCTTTGGTTAAAGCAAGAAGGGGGCTTTAACCCCCAGAGGCAATTGCTTGTATTGCCTCTGTTGGCAATAAAACGCCAATGACAACCCCATTTCGTTCATAGACATGCCAAGCTTACTGCCTACATCCCAGATCAGTGGGCTGGGGCTGAAGGCTGCTGTTGCGAACGCGTGTTGCCACTTGCATTACATCGTCAAAAAGTTTACAGTGTTACAAAATTGAAAAAAAATAAAGTATTTCTCGAGTTCAAAAAACAATACTTCCCTGTAACTTCACATATTTTTAGGTAATATATATAACTTTATGAATACTTTTAGTCCACTAAGTGACACTGAGCTTTCTTCTAAAAAAAAAAGCGAAATTGGAATTTATTTTTCAGTCGATATATCTTGAGCACCTTAATCGTTTTTACTTCATAGCATGTTGAACAGGCTGCTATGACATATTATTTGTGCCGTTTTATTTTGACATGCTTCTACAGTGAATATCGAATTTCACAAATTTATTCAATTTGGCTCGTGCCAAAATCCTTTGATGAGTTTATATACATAAAAAAGTAATTTATTTACAGTTACATTATCTCATTAGCTTGCCATAAACACCATTTTATCGAGTGCATCCTATAGACATCCTTTGAATGAAAATTGTTGTTTGATACTCTCTAGCTGAGTCGGCGAAAAGCTATAAACTAGCACGAACAGGCAAGAAAATTTTTGTCTACAGAAATTAGCAAGCAGAGCAAGTTTTAAACACAAAGAAAAATTTGGTGATTTTTTAGCCAGATTTTGCAAAAAGCTGTTGAAGAGTGAGTATCATTTTAGTGGAGAGTTGTAGATGTTTGTCTGGCTTTTCGCCTGACATGTTACTCCAGATACTGGGTGATAACTATGATATATGCAGTGATAAACACATAACACATACACTCACACATGTGCACTACACTATTTACGATGTTTCGTTCAGATTTGGGGCCCAAAAGAATGTCAGTAGCACTTTTGTGGCATGTAATGCACTGGAGCTACTTTGCCATGGGCCTAAAATATCTGGTGACTCTCCTTAAAAAGTATAAGTGATTGCTGTCTATATCTAACAAATTCTGGCCTTTTGGATTATATTTATCATACCTTTATCTCGTGTTTGTTTGATACTATTGAGAATTTGCTGTAATTTTAAACAATCAAAAATATTCCCCTAGAGTTATTCAAACAAAAGACCAAATTGAATGGTACTGCACAATATTACTTGCACTTTTCAAATACTTTCACACCATTAATTCTGACACGTCAACTCTACCATGCTGTGTCCAAACTTTTATTGCATGACTTCATCAGTGTACTGTTATCATTTACTTTAGAGTTTTGCCTCTAAATTTAGGTTACAGACTTTAACAAAGTAGTACGACCTTTTCGAGACAGTGTATTGGAAGGCTCCAGACAATTTGAACCCCATTGGGTTCTTTATTGTGCCCTAGTATTCCACCTGACGTGGTTCTCTAGAATTTCACTTCTACAGAAATGCAACCATGGTGCCTGAATTAATCAAAGCTGCATCTATTGGGTGAGTAGGCGAGTACTGTATGAGCCACTGAAGCGGCACCACCTCTGAAAATATAAGTGCATACATGTGCACCAGCCTATACATGCAAATGCTTCTCTTGAATAAAAAATGATTTTTTGTGGCTAAAGTATTTTCTTGCTATTTTTTTCTTCAGGCTTAGAAATGGCATAAAAAAGACATTCACAAACTTTATTGATAATGACTAACTAGCCTAAAAATTCATAAAGCAGTTTCATTTAAACGGGAAGGAGACTTTGGTACATTAGAATTGTCATTTACTGATTTTCTTGCAAGAAATGCCTCAAGGCCCTTACTTGTAGGGATATATTACATAAAGAGGAGGGAAAAACAGATAGGCTGTAGCATCAATAAACAGCAGAACAACAATACTCATCAAACAAACACCTAAAAAAGTGTGACATAACAAACAAAATATACAAAAATGCAATTCTGAAAATAGAAAAGCTCTAGTGAGACAGCCTACAAATGGGTAATACTTTTAATAAGTTTATTAAATTTAAGTGTATTAATTTTAGTTGTAATATAAGGAGGCAGCCAGTTCAACTCGATAATGGTTTTAGGGATGAATGATTTAGCAAAGATGGAAGTACAGCAAGCTATGTGTTTAATTTTGAAAGGACGATGGTGATGTGGAAATATGATTGGAAAAAAAATGAAGTAATGAGTGGCAGTATATTTTATAAAAAAGAGGTAAAGAAACTAGTGTACAATGATGGTAAAGGTTATCAAGACCAGCACAAGCCTTTAGGACTGACACACCAATGAAATGGTAGTAATCAGAAAAAAAAAAATCTGTTGCATTTTTTTGGAGAGATCGATGTTGCCTATGATGTAGGCCTAATTCAGGTGCCACATCTATGAAGTATACTCTATATTTTAGGATGAATTAAAGTAAAGTGGGTGAGATTAAGCACCTGTGCAGGAGCATGTTGTAGATTACAATTTGAGAGGCAGAGAGGTAGTGGCAACTACAAAGCGAAATAG